ATCGTAGGAAAACGGTTTGAGGAGATTCAAATAGTTTATTGTATTTTTTATTTAAAACCCGATTCTAAATTTATCATTTATAATAATCGTCAGTGGTTATTATTGTTTATAATGATTATTCATGGTTATTTTATTTGAATAATTTAAGTCATTGAATTCATTCGAGTGTTTTTTAATAATTATGGGAAGACTTGAGGTGAAATAAATTTCTAATTAATTTCTAAATGAATTTCAATCCTCAGGCTGTCATTCAAAATTGATATTTACATTATTATTTTAACATTTATAGCTCAACTTCAATATTTAATATCAATCATTGAAAGATACGAATCCTATACATATGATTATTTAAACAAATTATTCATAAACAATATATACTTTCAATAAGAAACGAATTAAATCAAAATTGCACTCGGAAAATTTTTTCCTTCCCAGAAAATTAATTAAAATTTGTTGTTACTTTTAATTTTTTCACTTGTTAAATCAATATTTACTTGATAATTGAGGTGTTAACATTTCCTAATAATTTGGACGTCCTGTCCTATTTATTGACACTTTATTTATTTATTGGACCATCGACCAACTGATGTAATTGATTAGAATAAATAATGCCCATTACTTTGTCATTCAATTACTGATTAGACGAGTGGATTGAAGTTTATTTGAAGAATATTTACCTAAATTACAATTGTCCTGTGCCTCTTCGCACCTGGAAACAACTCGAATAATTGCCCTTCCAGCCAATTGAACGCAAATGGCAGTTGCAACATTTCTCTCACCCTCTTCCTGAGAGATTTGTTGAACTCCTTCATTACTATACGCCGGTGGTTTCATCCTCAACTCTAAATCTCCCTTTTCCACCTCAAACAAGGAAATCCCACTCCTTCACTTATTCACACGCGGAATAAACAACGAAAAATTGAAAAAAAAAAACGACAATTTTACCAACGTAATTTCCGTAATTTCCACGTAATTTCCGGATTCTTCTGTGCAAACGGAAAAAACCGTTAACCAATGCGTGAACAATAGAACTGAGTTAGATAAAAATGGATAATCTCATGAAATTGTTCGGTGGAACAATGAGGGCATTTCCCACGTTAATGAGGATAGGACTTTCACCGTACGCCGGAGTGAGTAAACACTGAGTGAAATTGTTGTTTTATCGAATAAAAAATTGTTTAAATATTTGCAGCGCTCTCCTGTCTCGCAGGAATCGCCGCTGGCACTGACTTGGCACAGGTTGAAACGGTGGTATTTAAGCCTTCAACCTACACCTCCCACCCAATTCACTTGTACATGAAGAGAGATGTATCTTGGATCAGCTGACATTGTTTCAGTGGGTTCCTCCTTTGTTTGAAAACAACTGTAGACTGCGGGGCTGCGCCAGAACACCACGTGCTCCATTCTTCCCATTCTCTCCAATGTCAAATCGACAGATCTATCGAATTTTTTACTTTTAAAAACATGAATTTCATCCAACCATTGATCTTCTTCATACAAAAAATATATTCTATAATGCAAGTGGAAACCGTTCCTTCTTCACAAACATTTCAAATAGACAGATCTGTCGAATTTTGTACTTTTCAAAAAATATGAATTTCATCCAACCATTAAAATTCTTCATACAAAAAATATATTCTATAATGCAAGTGGAAACCGTTCCTTTTTCGCAAACAACTTCTTTTTTTTATCAGCTTATCATACTGGTAAAATATGAAAAAATTGAATTGAATTAAATTTAAATTAAATAAAGATGAAAAATTGTATAATACGTGAAAAAAACACATTTTTCATCACGATGTGCCGAAAAGTGACTTTCCCGCACACTGTGAAGATTAGTATTTTTTCGCCTTCGGGTGGAAAGGGCATACTTTCCGCCCTCGGCCGGAAATGTCTTCTCTCCGCCTTGGAGAGAAACTTTCCACACTAGGGCGAAAAATATCCACTTTTCTCCCGCATTTCAGACAGCAAAATACGAAGTTTCCTTTGTCAGGCATGTTGAAAAATGACATGTGCACCTCGGGCGGAAAATACTGACTTTCCACCCTTGATGCATAATATAATATGTTCGCCACTCGTGCACAAAGTAATTTTTGGCATGAGGGAGATTTATAGCACGAGCCGATGACGAATGGTATAATCGCACATGCCAAAAATAACTTTTCCGCACTTGTTATAAAATATACCATTCTTACACACTCGTCAAAATAGGACATTACAGTACAAGTGAAAAAAACAACTCTTTGATGATCCTAAGGGTTACAAGGCGCTCTGAAGGTCGGGGTTGCCAGGACACTCATTAAAATAGTAATTTTCTAACAAGAATCGTCCAGAATTTTATAATGCCTGTGAAAAATGTGCCCTTTTTCACACCTTTATCATAAAGTACTTTTTTTCACTTGTATGATAATCTACTTTTATAGCAGATGTACGATGTATACTCTACATGTATTAGTTATGTTTTTTTATCATAATTGAAAACGCATACGTGAAGACTCTATTTAGTACATGATTATCGATTTTATTTAACGAATACTATCCTTATCATGAAAGCAGAGATACGTAAATGAAGTTCGCCCGAGTCGAAACTCGTAAGACTGATTCCTTATTGGTCAACTCGAATCCGAAGTCGAAATTCGAATTCGGCGCACGGAGTGCGCAGTAGATCTCGTTAGTTATTATACTATACTATACTATACATACTAATACTATTAGAATTAGTAAATAATAAAACTGATTAGGCTTAGACGTTAACTCTTATTAAACGCACTCAGAAGGTATATCTTTCTCCTATGACCTCTGCACCTTCTACTGACTCATAGTTTTCACGCTCTGGACCCATCTTACACAAGGCCCTCGTTCATTCATCTCTCTCTATTTCTGTTTATATAAACTCTTCTCCTTATCCTGATGCTGTTCTAAGAAAAATTATAAAATAATAATATGAGCCAAATAGGCTATGGGATAACTATTAATTTTTGTGCATACCAAGTGCTCTCAATAAATACATTTTTCTGCATGTGCCTGGAGATGATGATCAAGGCCTGCAGAGTGCGCCCCGAATGTTCGTTGTTATAAAAAAAATAGTACGTGAAGATGAAACCAATTTCCCACTTGTCTCCATCTGCGATGTGGAAAATCGTTTATTGTTCGAGTTGTTGACCTCTGGGCTGTCAACCCAATTCGGAATAGCTCGACGATAATTTAGAAAGCGTGCAGACGTGAAATGGGTGAATGGAATGATCCATAAACATCTGACGGGATTTTGATCAATAGATTTACTTTTCATTATTTTTTCAATCCCAATCCAAGGTTTTCAAGAGATTATTTTTTTCACTTCGATTTTAGTCAATCAAATATATTATGCAACATTTGCGTGATTTGTTTAAACCTAGTCGGGAAATATTCGAATAATTTGTTGAAGGTCGAAGGGTATCACAATTTTTTATTTATTTTTATTTATTTATTACCTTTCGTATTTACGCGTCATTCACTGTTTCTGGTAATTACAAGGTGAATTCAGTAGTCCGAATGTGACGCACGTGCAAGATATTATTTTGTGTGAGTGCCAAAAAGTTGGGGAACGCGTTTTCCTCGGATTTCTCAGACAAAGGCAAAGTTGGAGTGGTTTTTATTTGGGGAAATGGTTTTCTTCGCTCGGTGGACGGAAAGCCGAAGGTCGAATGAAGAATTTCGAGGCTTTCTTTGTTCCGTCAGTCTAATGGAGGAGAAACTCCTAAAATCTCTGGTCTGAAAAAAATTATCAACATTTTTTATTTCCACAGGGAGAGATCCTTTTCCTTCTTCATTCAATAAAAATCAATCATCATATCCTTGAATTGAGGAACTCTCCGAGGATTTTCTAAGATTCAAAATGGGGGGACTCTTCGGGTAACTCCTTATCGGAACGAAAAGAAATAAATACGAATTTGAGGATTTAACTATGAAAATGAAATATACCGTGAGATCACTTGCCTTTTCTCTCACCAAATGTTCAATAAATAAACAAATGACGTAGCTATAAATAAAAGGCAGGAAGAAAATGTGGGATCGATGATATGGTCTTTATGATTTTTCTGTTCTTTATGCAGTTCGAGAACAGTTCTCGAAATGAGAACCTAATAATAAAATAGTTCAATTATTATTATATAAAAGTGTTTATGGTTTATTAACTTGGCTCGTACAGAACTAAGATTTCTTCAAAGTCGGGCAAAAAGCGGATAATTCCTCAATTGTTCTGTTATCCTGTTATAAGACCCCGTTTGACTCAAGTTTTAACGAAATGCGCTTCCAATTTTTGTCCAATTTCCTCCAACTTCGAGCAGGATCACACAAAAATTGAAGAGGTGCCAGATTTTTTCCACCATTTTGATTCTTAGAAAGACGGCCGATTTTTTTAAAAACCTTGCGAATCTGAAATTTTCTCCGAGTTTAATTATAGTTTTGATCTTTTCAAGAGAAAATCCCGATCTAATCCAGATGGAGTATTTCCATTACAATTAAAAAATGAAATTTAATTTTTTTCTCATTGAAAGTAAAAAAAAATCATGGAAACCTTCGATATCTGTTTATTTTCTCGCAGTTATCAGATTTAATTGGCAATAGTATATTGTGCATCAAGGGCGGAAAGTCATGCTTTCCCGTCCGGGATGCATATGCCATTTTTCAACATGCCTGTGCAGGAAACCTCGTATTTTGCTGTCTGAAACGAAGAAAGAAAGCAAATACTTTCCGCCCTAGTGAGGAAAGTTGCTCTGTAGGGCTGAAAGTATTCCCTTTCCACCCGAGGGCGGAGAGTAAACCCTTTTCACCCAAGGGCGGAAAGTATTCCCTCTTCACTTGAGGGCAGAAAGTATTCCCTTTTCACCCAAGGGCGGAAAGTATTCCCTTTTCACTCGAGGGCAGAAAGTATTCCTTTTTCACTGGATGGCAGAAAGTATTCCCTTTTCACTTGAGGGCAGAAAGTATTCCATTTTCACCCAAGGGCGGAAAGTATTCCCTTTTCACTCGAGGGCAGAAAGTATTCCTTTTTCACTGGATGGCAGAAAGTATTCCCTTTTCACCCGAGGGCAGAAAGTATTCCTTTTTCACCCAAGGGCGAAAAGTATTCCCTTTTCACTCGAGGGCAGAAAGTATTCCCTTTTCACTGGAGGGCAGAAAGTATTCCCTTTTCACCCGAGGGCAGAAAGTATTCTCTTTTCACCCAAGGGCGAAAAGTATTCCATTTTCACCCAAGGGCGAAAAGTATTCCATTTTCACCCAAGGGCGAAAAGTATTCCCTTTTCACCCGCCTAAACATATTTTCATACCGGAGATATCAATAGTTGGAAAAAATGTGGAATTTTTTCCATAAACTGGGAAATCTAGTCGAGGACAACCAAAGCCAAACGCGGATGAAATTGTTTATCATCCACGAGCGGTATATATTGGATCTTATCCAAAAGATTACTGCGCGCAATTTTGGCCCACGAAAATAGAAAGACCTCCCAATAAAATCCCCCATGACTTGTGCACTTATCTTTTTCTTCCAGCTATTTTTAGTTTTTCCAAATGGTTCTTTCTGTATATTTATTTCGTGAATAAAACCATTGAGGAATTAATCCATTAATTGAAGACGCAGATAAGAGTGTGCGAGGAATAATTCACCAAATGAAAATCAACACAGCAATTTGTCGAGGAGTCGTTGATCATTGGAGATTTAAGAGTTGTTTAATTAGTTGTCGATGTAAAGGTTTGAAGGATTCAGTATTTGTGGTTGTGCCAGACTTGGGAAAATTTTCTTCAACAAATCTTTTGAATATCTCGAACTTTTCATTATCCTCACAAATCTGTCAATGAAAAATGTAAATTATCAATAAAAAAACTATTAACATTTACTTATCACTTATCAAATATCAAATTTCATTGCAAATTTCATATCAAAATTCAATTGTCATGAGCGAATTTCAAATAGAATATCAATTAAATCACAATAAAATTCCTTGAAAGTGTTAATAGAAAATCAATACAATTTTTCGAGAAATTAGTAATTTTAATAATTAATATTAAATGTTTCTTGTTTTATATTTTCTATTTGTCTCTATTTGATGCATCTTAGATCATATTCGATTTTTATCATATATTGATTGACTTGATTGTTATTATTCAATTTTTAATTGACGCAAATTCACATGGAATTGTTCCAATCTGTCAATATTACATCTCGATAAATAAATTGAAGTAATTTCTATCTCCACAACCATTTTATTATCGCAGTCTGTTATTATTTCACTTCAATTTAATTTGAAAACAGAAAATGTCGCCATAAAAATGTCTTATAGAATAATAAATAATAAATAGACGAGAGACAAATAAGAATAAACAAATAAAGGAGATGTTATCGAAGAATCCATGACTTTATGTCAGACTTATAAATCCTGATTGACCATAAATTAAAGTTATGAAGTTTCTTCATAACGGTATGGAAAATTCCCACGTTTTTTGGATAAATTATCATGCGAAGTGGAATATTGCGTGTACACATATTTTTTTATTTAACAAAGGTTTTCTTTTGGAAAACATAATAATCGTGATACACGGGCGTCATTGAAATCTTTCACGCGTAGGAGTGATCCCCACCCGGAAATTCTCCTTATCAACTCGAAAAATTTCATATCTATCCAGCGAATGCTTATTTATGTGGTAATAAGTTAATTGTCGACGTGCCATTCTCAGATTAGACTATCCGGAAAACTAGTGATTTGAGGGAAAATGAGAGAGGATTTTTCTAGGTGATAAACTTTTTAGCAATTAACATCTGTGGGATTACCTAATGATTTGAGTATTTAATACTCAATACGATTATTCCTCCGGATTTTTCTGTCGTCTGCCGTTTGTCGTACGAGGACAAGATCTTTTTTAATAATTTTTCAAAATAACTTTTCTTTCTCTAAATGATATCTTCATAATTTCCAAGTATCCCAGGTCTCCGGAGAGCGACAATAACGCCTCCAATTCTTATGGAACATGCGACTCACGACATCAACCCCTTCATAAGAGAAAATTATATCATCCACATTGATAGGAATATTGTCCCGCATGATGAGCTGTTCCAGCATGCAGGTGTCATTCATAGCGTCATGGGCTCCAGCAGATTCCCCCAAGAATTCATCAGCCAGTGACTTCAATCCATAAGTCCTTCCAATCTCCCGACGTCCTGGTAAATATTCCCTGAACAATGGAAGAGTATCGGAGAACCCAATCACCATCTCCTGGAACTCTGTCATCTTCTTCTCTCGATAGACAATTGCAGTCAGCAATGGCCCATCAAACTTGAAGCAGTTGTGGGCGACTAGAATGATTTTTCCACCGAGAGATTTCAGAAATGCTATAAATGTGTAAAGTGCTGTTGATTTGGGAACAGCAGTGACTGGACGACCACGAACGTACATTTTGTTGTTCTTCATGTCAATTCCTGTGATGTCTTTAACAATCTGAGGAATGGGTCCGGTGGGAAGGATGTAAGTACGATACATTCTCGATCCATATTTAGCTGCTATTTGGAGAATCTCACAGTTGGGCTCTAGTCCTGTTGTCTCTAGGTCGAAGAAGACGATTTTGTATTCGGGATGGAGAGGTGATTTCAAGGGACTCTCCGGGCTACTCTCGGTGGAACTTGATGAGGCCTCCAGGGTTGACGACATTTTCAGCAGTTGGAGGTTCTCGTTGTCTCAATCTACTGGGGGAAAGTTTGATCTTTCATTTTAAATTGTACTCGGAATTACTGGCGAAGAAAAATGATAAATAGATTGATAAATAAATCTTGTTAGGAACAACATGAATCGTTTTTTGAAAATCCGAAAGAAATTAGGGTAGATCACACATTTAATATCGAATTTGATGATTTTGTCTGTAAAATATTTCTATTGAACATTTTAAAAGATTCGAAAGAATAGAAATATAGAAAAATTAAGAAATTAAAAATAGGAAAAATGGGAACGTCGATAGAAATGCAATAGAATTCGATGGAAAATATTGGTTTCCTATTTGGTTTTCTTTCTTACATGAAGTTCATAAAATATATCGAGCTTGAATCAAATATTGTGGTTACTTTATCAGGAATATTTTATCCGAAATAAAATTGTTTATATTTGAGACTTTAAAATTTAACCGCAATAACCGGTGAATTGCAATGAAATAATTCTCACTATTGTGACTATTAGATATTCCGTGTCAGCAAGAACTTGAGGTACACTTTTTGAGGTTAAACATGCGATTTTCCATTCTACGAAATAAAATAGTATATTTTCGCACTGCTAGGATGGGGTTTTTTACTCGTGAGGTTGGTAGACTCGACACAAGTAAAAAAAAAACGAAAAAACCGATCCCCAACAGTCCGGATATTATTTAGTAGTGATTTTCCAGTTTGGGAAATGTAGATGTAGATGTAGTATCAATTCCCAGAGGATAAATCGGTGAGAAGCAGGAGAAAAAAATATTATTAAAAAATTGACGATTAACACAAAGATCAGTAATTTTGTGTTGTTAATATTGTAATAATGATAATGGTTAATTTACCTGATAGGTGTTGAGCTCTCTGGAATTGGAGGAATTGATGCTTTCATTTGTTGACGATCGATTTTCGCGAATGATCTCATATCTTTCTCATGTCTTTCGTCACTTTGTTGTTCTGACGTAGGAGGGGGATTCCCTTGACATCATACCGGGTGCGTGCCAATTTTGAAATTAATTTGCTATCGATTTTCCAATTTTCAATAGATGCTTTCAGTAGAAATAAAAATCCAGAGAATTATTCCTCCCTGGGGACAAAGGAAAACCTATAATGAAAATTAAAAGAATAAATTGTATGGGGAAATAAATATTTTGTGACTTCAGCAGAATATTTTTAAATAAATAACCGCCATTTTTTGTACTGATTTTTGATGTATGCATTCGGTATCGAAATTTTAATATTAGGTATATGATACGTATTACGTAATTAGTGTATCAGTATTTTGTAAATTAAAAAATATATACAATGAAAAAAAAATTGTAATATTTTTCATCTGGGTCAACGGGTTTTAATACAAAAAACTGTAATCAGTTCTGAATTAATAATAATAAATAATTAATTTAAACTAATTAATAATTAATAATAGTAAACATATTTGATACCACTAAATATCTAGAATTTTCAAGTTAAAGAACTTCTGCTTGATTTTCTTGATTAAACAAAATTAAACCTTGAAGGAAAAAACCTAGTTGATTTAAATGCAAATATTGAATTGCATTTACTTGTCCTAAATGAATTTCCTTTGACTTGACTGAAATCAAATAACTTAGCAGAAGCAATTTTAAAACCTTCGAGTTCAAGTGTTTTACTTTTATGTTATTGCTTAAAAAAAAGAAAACTTCAATAAAAAACCGTTAATCAATCTCAAATGCAAATATTTAATAACTTGTCTCAAGAAATTAATTTTCAAGTCAATCCATTCAGTGAGAGTAATATTTTTGTTCAGTGTCTCAGCGAGTTTTATTAATAAATAGTAAAATCCTTCCACTAACCGGTGCTCGCAGTTTCCCGTTTCCCGCCGATTTAATTTTTATTACTTCAAAGTATAAATCCATCAAGATTAAAATGCAATATCCATGGCGAGAAGTCACGTAAAATAGGAGCAGTGACGTGGGTTGTGTGAATTTCCGCGTCAAAATTGGACAACCTTGACGGCACCGTCGATGGAAAAAAACAGAAAAACGATTTTCCCTGTCTCTGTTAACATTACGCTTAGTTCGTTGGCTCCTTTGTATCTCTGGCAACGTTTTGCGTCTTTTCCAAGTGATTTATTTTTATTTCCAGTTCTGAGAATTCGTGCGCCAATAGCTAGACGTGCTTACAATTTACTTAATTTATCAATCCAAAAAGGAAAAGCGGAGAGTAGCCGCGCAGTGTGTGACTCCGGCGATCATTCAAGCTAGACAACATTTAGTTTGATCAGTACCATGAAGAATAGAGACCGTCAGTACTTGGATGGGTGTCCGCTTAGTTATACCTCTGCGTGAATATTTTTGGCGTTAGCCACGGATGTAGAGAACTGCATGGCATTAAAATTTGCCGGAAAAAAGTTTGAAAAAGCATATCTATTGGGGACCGGAGTTATTTGATTTTGGAAAATTTGAAATTGTTTTATCCTGATCCCACAGTATGAAAGAAATGGGCTACTAATCGAACATGGCGAATCTCATGTGGATGATCGATTATGTGACACTCGATCTCGATTAATCGAATAGATAACTGACCGTCACATCAGCTGATTAGCACAGGGTACGGGGATATGGAAAAATACCACCATAGCTTCATCTATGTCTGTCATGGACACGCAAAAAATTCTTATCTTTTATCCTTTATGATATAGTAGTGCTGCCCCAAACAGATCAACCAATCAATGAAGATTTTTTACATGAATAAGGATCCAAAAAAGTTATAAAAATACATCATGTGTATGACTTATTAAAACTCAGAATTTAAATGAGGTTCTATTCATATTCGGTAATGTTACTTGCAGTTATCCTCCGTTAATTATTTTTCTTATATAAAAGCAGCATACATCATCAACGAAGCATCTGTGACGAAAAAATCAAATCATCACGAAGAGGTTTCTCATTTCCCAAAATGTGAATTGGTTTTTATTCGGATTGAATTAACCGAATTTACATTAGAGTTGGATGAAGATTTTGAGTATTACAGTGGATTAATTATTTCATTAGGAAGAAGAAAAAGAAGAGCGAATATCACAATGAGATTTTGTTAAATAAGATGCTTGCCAATGAAATTCTTTAAAAATGGCAGAGAAAGAAAACTTCATATTTTAATGTTGAAACAAGAAATGTCGAGATAATTCGATGAATGTAATAATTTTATTAGAATCAAAGATTGATACAATCAACTGATACAATCCGATAATAATACATAATCCCGAATAAACATCTCTGGTGCGCAATTGAAATGGCAATATTTCAATTTTCATCATATCTAACACGTACACTTTTGATAATAACTGATATTTCCTCAATTCGTTGGCTATTTGAATGGCCATTACGGTTAAAGCACCATTTGTCACATATACATTTTCATAAATAACATTAAGCATAAATATCGCATTGTATATTGATAATAATTTTGTAATTACGTCTATTATGGTTTATATTTGGATATTTTTAATCTCTAGGTTTTTATTAATAATTTTTATCACAACCTGGTAACATCTAGAATGAAGACATCCTCGTGAGAATTCATTATATCTTCAGCATTCTCTTCTTTGAGTCTTACGTTGGTGTTCTCTGATAAAATTTTATTACGATTATCACTTGATGTGAGGAAAAACGGTCGTTGACACTTTTTTGGATTCAAATTTAATTTTGTGTAAGAAGGTTGTGCGGATACTTTCCAAGAGGATAATTTTTCTGTTTCGGACAATTTTGGGGTATCTGAATCAACTTTTGGAGATAATGTTTTGAAATTTTTTTGGGGTGCTTTTTAATGATTTCGAATTTGTGCGAAAAGGATATATGTCGTATAAATACTTTTCGAGAGAATCCATCATCGTGATCGTTATCATCGAGGAGTTGCCGGGCATAGAAGTACCTTAAACCATTTTTCAGTATTTTATTTTAGTATCAACAGGATAGACTCTGTAGTTTTTATACAATTCTATAGATATCAATTCTATACGAAAATGTTGCATTGAATAAATAGTTGAACCATCATTGTTAATTACCAATCGTGTGTGTTGATGTCATTTTCACTCTGGACAGGAGTCTTGGCTCCGGCACCGGACCTTTCCCAATTCAAGTGTCCATCTAAGACCAGGTGATAAAATATAGAACCTTAATTCTCCGCATAAGCCTCCAATTTAAATCGCGAATATCTCGAGTGATATTGAATTGTTAGCTCGAGTGTAGCAACGTTGAGTTGCTACAAATATTTTAAGGTGGTTGTCGCGCGACAGTCTCTGTAAAAAGTTTATCCGCTGTAAAACGGGCCAGTTTAGAACACAATCTTTTAGCGGTATATAGTCTCACTTGATTGATTGCATTGTGCATGGATAGCTAAAGCATAACTATATATTTTCCATATTAACTATTTTCAATTATATAAATTTATGAATTTCCGATAATTATATTCCGTAAACCAAACGGTCAATCGATTTGATTTTTTTTTCTGTATTTCCTCCCACGATGTATATTCCACTTTTTTTTTTATTTCTGAAACTGTCGAGCCGTTGATTTTTAAAAAATTCTAATCGGCAAAACTCCATTTAAACACGTGTTAAATCACTCGAATTTCAAAAATTTATATCTCAAGTTCAAAACGGTCAATTGCAAACGGAAAAGGCTCATTTTGTTGCTAATTTTTCAAACTATTCACCATAAAATTTTTAACGAAAACTGTCGAAAAAAAATTCTACGCGACAACAACCTTAAAATCATCAGAATCGCTGAGATATCGTATCCCCTCGGAAAGTGTTTATATATCCTTTTTGCATAAAATTGAAGTCAAATTAAAAAAAGTGTCCATACCCCTATTATCCTCAACTCAAGCGATACTTCAAAATTTTTTAATTTGATTAATTCTCCCTAGACTAATGCAATTATAATCTTTGATGGTCGGTGCACGATTATGATATCAAGTATTACATTAAAATTGACATGTGCAGACGTAATATTCGAAATATCATTAGTATAAATTCGTACAATAATCTCCAAGCAAAAATATCGAAAATGCGTAACTACATTAATTCATTAAAAAATGAATGGCAAATAATTGTTTAATTAATTAATACCAAAAACGGCAAGAGTTGAGTTGGCAGCAGATTTATTTTTTAAAATTGCACTATGGTAATTGCCACGAATATTGACCATAATGTTGATATTTATGCTAAAAATAATTTAAGGCAACGGATATTAGTGTTTTTTTTTAATTTTTCGTCTCAATTGTTATTTTTTCGTATCTTGTGAGTCGGTTTTGACTTCAGGCCGATTGATGAGCTCTTGGGCATGTTGTAAACCGGCGCAATAATGCAATAATAACACTGAAAGTCCTTGTACTCGAAGATCACTTTGTGTTATCAATTTGACACTGTCAAGGTCAGTGCTGTGAGATAGTTCTAGTCTTGAGGTAGTTTCTACGTCAAGCGCCGCCTTCAATTTCCCCATCTGCGAATATTCAATTGATTCAGTGAATAAAAATTGAAAAAAAAAATCATATACATAACAGAAAAATTAATATACAAAAATCATTTTTCAAGGGACAAACATCGCATCGATTTATTTTTCTGACGAATTGTTGATCAAATTTTTTCAGTATCTCATGAGCCCAGAAATTTTATAAACGTGCAATAATATCCCTGCCATTTTTTCAAGCCCTACAAATTTCCGAAAAATTTCGAAAGAACGCAGGAAATTATTGCACGATCATGCCTTTTTGGAAACCATTATTGTATGGCGTCAATTGGATCAAAAATTTGTCAAAGACTTCAAGAACCCAGCAATCCTTCTAAGTTGTTAAATTGTTTAAATAATGTTACCGGTTATTGTATTATTTTTTTTTAAATACTTTATTGAAAATGTGGGTTGCTTCTTATCTCATTTTTTTCTATGTAATTCTTCCCGCTTGATTAATTTTATTAAACAGTTTTTTAGTTTAGTCAATAAATTTCGGAATCCAGATTCCAAACTAATTTTGGCGCTCCCCTAATTAATAGTTCTTTCATTTCTCACCATGGAATTGATTTTATCAATTCTTTCCTCGGCTTGTAAGTCTTTGAATAAAAATTTCCCAGTTTCTTTAGCACGTGACATAAGACCATCGTCTAATTCACCCGAAATCAAAGGCGCTGCGACACTTGGCTCTGCACCCTCCAATAAATCACTGCTTATTCCAAGTCCTCCAATCAGTGAATTCTGCGTATTTTTGTAAAGAAATTTCAACTTATCACTATTATCAAAGAAGAGAGTTGGAAGTCAATTTCCGATACACTGCATGGAGAGAAAAATTTCATATAAATTACATGGCCGTTCTGTAATCTGCCAAAAATTCAAAACAGTATTCAGTCAAAATTACGGAACGTTCAGTGAAAAATTGCGTAATTTCCGTAATTTGTACTGAATACTGTTTTGACTTGAAGTACCCCGTAAGAGTGGCGTATACTGTTTTATACCATAAGTGCGTATGTATGTGAGAAATGGCTGTTCGGTGGTTGAAATAGGGTCCGGAGGGGGGGGGGGGGGGGTGGTGGTCCCCCCGACTGGTGAAGTAGACACCAAAAGCAAAATCAAAATCAAAAATAAAAAAAAAGACTCGGACGATTCACATGAAGTTTAAAAACTTAGAGGTATGGAAATAATTGTCTATTTAATTTTTTTTTTTATTGAATAAATAAATGAAACGTCAGGATATTGCAAGTTATGTCGATAACAACAAGGGACTGGTTGATCTTATGAGTCGATGCGCAGTTGATGTGGGGAATCCCACGATGATATCGCAATAACCATTTGCACATCGATCTGCGCATCGATTCGAGCATTTGCGCATGCTCAGGGGTTACGTCAGGGATTATAGACATGTATAGTAGGGTTTCACACCTCACTTTCTTTCTGCGTTAACACCCAATTGAAACCGGCGGGGTTTCACGCACGTATGGTATATAAATGTAAATTTTTTCCCCATTGTGTTGGAACTTGATTGCATTAAATTAATTGATCAAGTCATAAAGTTTGTCATTATTTACACTTGGGTAGAGGTACAGAACCTTGCCCTCTCTTTCTTTTCTAAAGATATATGATTTTTACAATTCATATGAATAATTTCAATGTAACACTTGATTACTCCATGTTCATCGATCGGATTTATCAAATCTATCAAATAATTCAAGATAAAACAAAATATATTATATATAATAATAATATATAATAATATAGTAATTCGTGGCTTTAGCGGATATAAAAATCATAAAGACGATTACGATGTACTACATGCCATTTAAAAAATTAATAATTGACCATTCTACCATTTCCTGTACGCAAATCCGGCTTCAACATTATCGATATTTGTTTGGGGGTCTGTGGGGAAGACTTATCTATATTTCCTCCCTAGGTGAGAAATATACTATTGATCCAAAATGTTTTAAATTATCTGAAAAAAATCAGATTTTCAAAAAACGATGGAGTGCATGGTGAAAATTCAAGTTTTATGTTTTCTTTCTGATTTTTCCTATGAGAACGAAATGTAGCAAAAAATTACTATCATTTGCGGAAAATTAAGAAAATTTCCGACAGAAACCTGTGTTTTTATTTTTTTTTTTCAAACACTTTTAAATATGTTGAATTTGAGGGAACAATTTCAAAATAAAGATGAATAATCACGTGAAACCCGATCAATTGAAGCGATGGACCTCCCATAATTGGGAAATCTCGTTTTCTAGATACGAATGATCGAAGGAGCTCCAAAAATAAAAATTGATAATGTTGAAGCCGGATTTTCGGATAGAAACTGGTAGAATGGTCTAAATAGTTAATTTGACTTATTATTAACTAAGGATGCGGTTAATTAATAAAATGCAATTATTTTATTTTGCCTATTTCTGTGGCGAACTCGAACAACGCAGAAATATTCTGTAGTTTCTTCATGTCGAAAATTCATTGATATTGTTGTAATCAATTTAACAATTACTTACCAATAAAAATCGATGAAATTCTATTAGTAACAGGATTATTATTGGATGAACACATGCCACAGAGAAGTTGAGAGTTCAGACGATTGTCGATTGGACGAAAAATTTTTGCATGAATGGTCGAACAATCTGATGGCAATGATTTTATTCTCAAGGTAATTGGTCAGATCTCATCGAGCCCGGTCTCCAACTCCGAGATCGTGAGATCACTGTTAAAAATTTTATGGGGACTAGTTCGAAAAATTACCTACAAAATGGGCCCTTTCCGTTTGCCATTGACTTTTTTGAATTTGGGACATGAATTTTTGAAATTCAAGTGATTTAACACGTGTTTAAATAGAGTTTCACCGATTAGAATTTTCTCCGTGACGAGATCAGGAAAAGTGTTACAAATTTTATAATTCAAGACTGGATTTGCTTTTATCAATGAAATTTGATTTTCAAAATTCAAGCCGAATGCTCGGGTTTTTTATTACATTTTTTTATTTTGAAACATTTCGAACATTTCCGAATTCCGTTATTGTTTATTTTTATATGAACATTTTTAGATACAAATTTTCTGAGTTTTCCACTCGAATTTTCGGATTCAAAATGAAAAAAATCATGTGAAAGAATTAAAGAATGGCTTTAAAAAATTTCCATATAAAAAAATGTCAGTAGAAAGATTCAAAGATTCATATAGAAATTCAAAATCTATTAACTGTTCATTAAAAAGGGCCCAATAGAATTGCCTGAAAACACGAATCGAATTCTTCGACAGAATTCCAATAGAAATTCCTGAAGAAAGTCTATAGAATTTCTATGGAATTCCAATAGAATTCCAATAAAAATCCCAAAGAAAGTCAGAATTTCTATAGAATCCCACAAATTTATATTCCAGTAGATAAATTCCATAATTCATTTATAGAATCAACCAATGCCATGAGAATGTTTGGATGGGTGAGGGGCAGAAGTGACACTGAAAAAAGGATAATTTCGAAGAAATGAAAGGTCTACCTTGCGGGATGAGCAGGGACTTGGGGGTAGACTTCGAGATCCTCCACCACTTGGTGAAGTCGGTGGTGCTAGGCAACTGGTACTTCCGGCTTTCTTCAATCCCAGCAGTGTATTTGCTATACTGGCCTTGACTGCCATCATTCCCTAATCAATACCATTAAGGATGTTTATCAAAAATCGCAAGTATTCAAAAAAATATTCATTTTTTTCATCGACAGATGAAGCGATTTTCTTTATCGCCATCATTTTTTTTATCTAAATCGCATATATTATTTTGAAATCGAATGGACAACTCGTGACCATTCGATTCGTTATACTTTTGCCCATTATCGTATGTGTTAATTAATAGTTGGACGCTTTAAATATTTCGTATGTAATTAAATCTAATAAGTTTAATGTTGATTAAAATTTCATTATTAGCCTATTTTTCAGACGTTCTTAATTCCTGCTTGGACTATATACTCGATGAGTTTGTACATGGAAATTAAATACATGAGAATTTATGAAGATAATAAAAGCTTATAGAGATTTTTATTTAACGGAATTACTATTTTTCAAAACATCACACGAGAATTTTGACACATCTTCGCCGATAACTCTTGATCAAATCGATGAAATTGAAAAAATCTAAGAACAATTTGAACTTGTCAAGATTTGCAAAATGATATATAATATAGTCCCATAAATTTTGTCAAATGCTATAATAATTACCAATAAACGTGAATTTTGGAGCGTGACCTTCAGAAAAAATATGGAAAAAACTTGAAGAACTTGACAGACACGCAATAAAATGAGATACAACTGAAGCAATTTCAAAGAGCAAAAAATTTTCTTCAAAATGGTACCTAAATATTCTTATTCTTTTACTTGGGAAATATGTATTTACTCTTCCGAAGTTCATTTACGGAAAACAGAAAAGAATTATCTCAAAAACCAAACAAAAAGAGATAATTTACTCATAGATTTTCAGTATTTCAGTAGATGATTCATAAATTCAAAGTTTCTTCATTTATTTCTACAGGGAATATTCGGATTAATATTGTGTAACATCAAAGAATGAATAAAAAAAAAAGGAATGTTTCTAAAAATGAAAAAAATGTGATTTGCTGAATATTGCTAAACATCCTTAACGTTTTCCACATTTACTCATTGAATTAATTTCCTCACCAAATGCTAATTAATTCTCTGATCCATCAATATCCGCTGTTGGAAACCCATCACCTCGATCCCAATCATCAACAAAATCTACTAATTACATAATCCAAAGGGTTGAAAAAAATGAAAACAAAAATCAAACAAATGTGACATTTTCTTTCATTTCTCAAACTATATTTACATCTTTATCAGTCGATAGTTAAATTCTTAATGAACGCATTAACTTTTATCCTCTAATTTAATATCAATGACCAAATATGATACTCGGATTGTTTATTTGTTTATTTATCCATTTATTTATTTGAAAAATAATGAGCAAGTGAACGAGATCTTGTTGTTTTTAAAAGTCAGTATGAGTTGATCATAACAAATGGCCATCAATTGAATAAATAAATATGAAAATAAATTAATAAATAAATAAACATAGTAATACTCTCGTCGCTTTATCTAGAAGAGATCGTAATTGCAGACTTCAATGAAAAATTGTTTCTATGGAAGTGTTTTGTACTATGTGTTCAGTACCTGAACGTTTTCTTCGCAACTGGTGAGTGATATCTCGGGTCCCATATCACCACCAATGCTAACTGCTGCTTCTGCTTCCTCTACCTCGAAGGCCATTGTTGCTAGACTCTCAGCACCACAATTACCAGATGATTGACAACGTAATTCACATTTTTTGTGACAGACCATTCCGCAGTCGCGGCATTGCACTGCATCTTTCAACCAGATCTAGTGATCGAGTCGAACAGTAAATATTTCATTATTGTAATTTTGAATCCATCGAAAAACTTTGTAATTGGGTGTGTGTGTGTGTGGGGGGGGGGGGCTAATAGTATTGAGCTTCAACCGCAATAAAGTTACTTTTCTGGATATTTTAAGAAATTTTTTCATTTTTTTGGGTTCCGAAAGAAAAGATTGGAATCCCTGAAATTGAAATTGAAATTTGTAAAAAGTCGCAAAAAACAATTGGTCATGGAGATATTAATGAACGCAAAGAATTGGGTCGCGTCTGGCAAGAGCTCTTGTACTGAGAGAAGGAATTATTTATAAAAAATATTGATTTTTTTGAGAGATGTGAAATGAAATCAACGATTTTTCGACATTATCAATCTTTTCATAATTATAATTTTGAGTATTAGTATTTGTAATATTGTAATAACATTTCTAATATTATTTTTTTTAAGTGTATTGATCATTTTATGCAAAATGAGAAAGAGTTTTTGATTTTTGGCGATTTAATAATGAAAGATTTGAAAATAATACTTGAGCTTAAAAAAAAGTATTTCTTTCGGTGAATATCTTTGAATTGAAGAAAGACAGCAATATTTTTGCAAAAAAAATTTCCATAGAGTATCACGAGAACTTCAAAAACGGTGTGTTTAAAGTAGACATCAAAAACGCCCCCCAACTCGACGACAAGTGATCGATTAATTTCGGATACTTCCGGGGTTCATCGGATCGGTGACCCTCGATCACCAACGAGCTTGAGACCCCTCAAAAATTTTACTCGTACAGTCAATGTCTTAGAATACGCATCTCAACTTTCCGTGACGATTTAACGATTCACCCGTTAACGATTCCTCGCGAGCCTGTCTCTAACCGACGCACAACGCATTTCTCAACTAATTAACGTGAATTTATTGTTTAAGGTTGTTGTCGCGTAGAATTTTTTTTCGACAGTTTTCGTTAGAAATTTTATGGTGAATAGTTTGAAAAATTAGCAGCAAAATGAGCCTTTTCCGTTTGCAATTGACCGTTTTGAACTTGAGATATAAATTTTTGAAATTCGAGTGATTTAACACGTGTTTAAATGGAGTTTTGCCGATTAGAATTTTTTAAAAATCAACGGCTCGACAGTTTCAGAAATAAAAAAACGTGGAATATACATCGTGGGAGGAAATACAGAAAAAAAATCAAATCGATTGACCGTTTGGTTTACGGAACGTTAACCCAACAATTATTGTATATTTTTGTATATATTCGAGACAAGTGACCATTAAACACGAAGTGTTTTATATCTCGGGTGTATTTCATTTTTCCCCTCTTCCCAACACACATTTTCCAATTTTCCAACGCTCGACGACCCAAAAATCAACGTCCGTCACCAAACACGGTATTTACGAAAATGATTATATCTGTCTACAATTCCGAGAAATCGGCTAAAACACGGCCTAAAAAAACGTTGTCATCGTAGTTCCTCACTTCACAACAGAAATATTTATTTATAAAATTGTAATTTCAAAATTTACCTTTTTAGAGCAAAAATCGCAATGCGTGGCTCGATGGAAATGCGTTCGAATAAAATCATGTGGCTTCTTATCAGTGACTTCACTGACATGTGGCACATGCTTCGGTGTTCCAGTTTCTTTTTTAATATCAGCATTTGTGTTTCTCCTTTGAGGTTCGCTGGATATCCAGTCGTAGGACAAAAGGATATCTCCATAGCAAAGAGTGGGATCAAATCCAGAATATCCCTGCAGTTTCGAGTTGAAACTTGATGCTGAAAAAAGAAAGTTCTTTGAAATTATAGAGAGCAATATATAATAATGCAGAAGAAGATTTCAAACATTACCTATTTATAAAAAATTTCGCAGTCAATGATATTATAACGCATGATATTTTCACATAACACATTCTCAATTCTCATGTTCTCCTGAGACTTTTTCGAAAATTTTCAATTTCTAAATTTTAGCGAATACCTCCTCAATTTTCATGTTCTCCTGATACTTTTTCGATCATTTCGAATTTGGCTATTTCAGTGAATATCTTTTCTATTTTCATGTTCTCCTGATACTTTTTCGATAATTTCGAATTTGGCAATTTTAGTGAATATCTTCTCTATTTACATGTTCTCCTGATACTTTTTCGAAAATTTTCAATTTCTAAATTTTAGCGAATACCTCCTCGATTTTCATGTTCTCCTGATACTTTTATGATGATTTCGAATTCGGTAATTTCAGTGAATACCTTCTCTATTTCCATGTTCTCCTGATACTTTTTCGATAATAACGAATTTGGCAATTTCAGTGAACACCTTCTCTATTTCCATGTTCTCCTGATACTGTTTCGAAAATTTTTAATTTCTAAATTTCAGGAAATGCCTCCTCGATATTCATGTTGAAAATTTTGAATTTGAAAATTTCAGTGAATGCATTTGCGATTTTCATGCTCCCCTGATACTTTTCCAAAGATTTCGAATTTTCAAATTTCGGTGAATACCTCCTCGATTTCCATGCTCCCCTGATATTAAAAAATTTCGAAAATTTAGAATTTTCACATTTCAGTGAATACCTCCTTGATTTTCATGCCCCCCTGATACTTTTCGAAAAATTTCGAATTGTCAATTTTCAGTGAATACCGCTTCCATTTTCATGCTCCCCTAATACTTTTCGAAAAATTTCGAAATATCAAATTTTAGTGAATACCTCCTCGATTTTCATGCTCCTCTGATGCTTTTATGTAACTTTTGAATTTTCAAATTTCGGTGAATACCTCCTGGTTTTTCATGCTCCCCTGATAGTTTTTTGAAATTTTTTAATTTTTCAATTTCAGTGAATACTCCCTCGATTTTCATGCTCCCCTGATATTTTTTGCAAAATATCGAATTCTTCAATTTCAGTGAATACCTTCTCGATTTTCATGTTCCCCTGATACTTTTTTGAAAATTTTTAATTTTTCAATTCCAGTGAATACCTCCTCGATTTTTCTGCTCCCCTGATACTTTTTTGAAAATATTGAGTTTTTCATTTTCAGTGAATACCTCCTCGATTGTCACGCTCCCCTGATATTTTTTCAAAAATTTCGAATTTATCAATTTCAATGAATACCTCCTCGATTTGCATATTCTCCTGATACTTTTCGAAAAATTTCGAATTGTCAATTTTCAGTGAATACCGCTTCCATTTTCATGCTCCCTTAATACTTTTCGAAAAATTTCGAAATATCAAATTTTAGTGAATACCTCCTCGATTCTCATGCTCTCCTGATACTTTTTCGAAAATTTTGAATTTATAAATTTCAGTAATACCTCCTTGATTCTCATGTTCACCTGATATTTTTTCAGAAATTTTAAATTAAAAAATTTCAGTGAATACCTCCTTCATATCCATGTTCTTCTGATACTTTTTCAAAGATTTTGAATGTGTAAATTTCCGTAAACACCTCCTTGATTCTGATGTTCTCCTGATACTTTTTCGAAAATTTTGAATTTTCACGTAATATTTTAGTTGTTAATGTTTCGACAATGAATATTACTCTCCATAACATTTAAAGGTGATGCATAATTACCTGTATCAGGTGGCAAAAGGGCCTGGCACTTCAAGTAATGCCCAGTATTATTAGTAGAGCACTGAGCAAGAATAAGTTTAATCGGTGTATTGATGTACCCAATAATTTTGGGTGGTCCCTCCCTCCCTCGACACTTGGCCCAGACCCCAATATTCAAGTACTGCAATTCATTATCGATTCGAAAATTTCTGGTCTCCTCGAAATTTATCAACGATGCATAAGATTTATCTCTGGTAGTCGAATACAAATCAGTGAGTGAGGGTGCCATAAAATCATCACCACTGACAACAGGATTGCTGGACGTAGAGTGAGTGGAAGTAGTAGATATCCTTCTGGACGGGGTGTCAGGAATGTGAACAAAATCATCAGACACCTGAAAACTGCTCTTTCGTCTTCTAAATAGTTTAATTCCACCCTCAGACTTATCCGAGCCCTCGAAATCCCCACACTCCCGCAAATCCGAGAACTTCACTTGACTCTCGACATTCAATTCATTTTTGATTTTCTTATCAGCATTTACCAATGTTTTATCAACTTCTGGTTTAATATGGGGCTTTTCATTATCAAATTTCGTGTATCTTCTCTCAACTCTGATGATAAATCTCCGTTGAGCTGCGCTCTTCACGAGTTTTACCACTTGTGTCATGTTGGAAATCCTCTTGCCATCAACTGCCACGAGAATGTCAGACTTTTTCATCTCTGCAATTGCTGCTGGACTCCCTGAGACTATCGTCTCGACTACGACGCAATTCTGACCAATTTCTGGAATGACTTCCTGCTTGAAGACGACACCAAGCTGGTGGGAGTTTGGTTTGCTGATTATTAGGTCCAGAACCATGTAGGGAACACCTCCGTACTGGGTGAGGTACACCCAGGGAGTGGAATCCACGCTGATGGTGCAGTAAATGTCGACCTGAGGTAAATCTTCTGTGGGAAATATCGTCGGGGGCAGATGCAGTCTTCCTACTTCTATCAAACCAACTTCCAGGAGACCAGGGGTCAGCTGAGCCGTCACAACCTGAAACAAGTGGAATTAATCTTTTATTACAAATGGTATAATTATTTTTTATGATAAATTAGCAATCCATTTCCGAGTGGTCACCTGAAAAATTATCAGCAGCATCAAAGCCAGAATTAATAATCAATTATTGAAATTATTAGGTGGAAAAATTAAATCAAACCAATGCAGATAATAATCCGTATAAAAATAAATGATAAATCCCCAGTCGATGGAGAATTCGACGAAATAAAAGTAATAATACGAAATCTAGTAATTTAGATAATTTACACCAACAAATGAAGATTACTAGAAGGATGAATAAATTGAAAATACTAAAACAGATATTGATGACAATTATATTGAAGTCGATTCTTCAACGATTACAATTCCAGTTCTCCATGAAAATAGTGGAGAGAATTATTATAATATTTATGTGTTTATATTGATTATGAGCTGACGATACGACATTTAATTTCTCTTTAATCTCCAGAAATTAAAATTAACTGCGAGGAAAAGGTCATGGGATTTCTCATCTTTTATTCTATTTTTTCAGACATGACCTTTGACTTTTAACTCATAAATGGAGGACCTGGGTATTAGAAAATGTGTATTAATATCAAATTGAAAATCCAATATTTTTACTTTCGGTCATTCATTTTTTCAACATTATAAAAGACTTTATAAAATTTCTTTTCTAGGGTAATTGAACTTAAATTCACTACATTTATTCGGATGCAGCTTTAATTTTGTGGTGATAATATAGAAATAATCTTTAATATAAAACAATAAAATAATAATTTGATGGATTACCTCTGATAAATCAATGTCCTCATCGTTCAGTCGACGGAAAAATGGTTTGTACCGCATTTTATATCGCGGTAATGTGTGCTTTCTTCTAATTGCCCGTCTGATCTGTCCTGTGATAAGGGATATTATCTGGGGCTGCAATTGCCGTCCTTGAAACTGAGATTGAACTTCCAGTTCGAGTACTGGATCCGAGTAAAAACTCAAAGACCAGTGGGTGTACGGAATTCGAGTAAACTGGAGTCTAGCTCTTCCACTGACTCTTTTAACTTGAAGTGATAAGTAGGCAGTCTTTCCAAGTAACATTTTTACATCTATTGACAGTTGAAAGTTCCCGGAGTAGTGGAGATCCAAGGATAGATCAAGAGTCTCGAGCAGTCCAGTGTCTCGATTTATGACGGAATCATCAACTTCGAGGCCCTTGATCATAGGAAACTGCGTGCCAAGATCTAAATCACGTAACTGAAATAAAAATCACAGTTATTTCACTTTAATGTTATACAAGAATCCGTACCGCGCGCCAGCGCGCGGATATAATACGATTTCTGTATAAAAGTTACGACTTTGTAATCTCGCACCATTTTAAACGGACCAATAAGGAATCGTGGCTTCATGATTTCGAGATTTTCGAGATAATCGATTGTGTCAAGCGTGTCCCTTTTAGAAAAGGATTTGTAATCTCGCGCCATTTTAAACGGACCAATAAGGAATCGTGGCTTCATGATTTCGAGATTTTCGAGATAATCGATTGTGTCAAGCGTGGCCCTTTTAGAAAAGGATTTGTAATTTCGCGCCATTTTAAACGGACCAATAAGGAATCGTGGCTTCATGATTTCGAGATTTTCGAGATAATCGATTGTGTCAAACGTATCCCTTTTAGAATAGGAATCGCAATCTCCTAAGTGGAATAAAAATTTTAATTATTCAATTTTAATTTTAATCATCACGATTATCTCTATTTTTCTCTCAATAATGAGAACCAATACAAATTTATCGATTTCTCGATATTAATTGTCGATTAAAGAAATCTATACGAAATTTATTTTCAAACAAAAAATAAATAAAAACTGTATTAATTTTATTTTTCATATAATTCTATAAAGTATTAAAATTATTATTGAAATTTTCTACAAAATAAAAACATAGAATTAATCTTACTTAATTAATAACTAGTGTGTTAGTTAATGGATTTTATCTTATCATTAAATGTTAATTAATAATTAATGAGTTAGTCAATGGATTGAATTTTAATTAATATCGACAACTAAATTTCAGCAATAATTCAATACAAAATAATTTTTAGATAAACGAAATTAGTACTAATTTTTACTGCAATACTAATTTTGAGAACTTAATCCGCTCAGGACTACCCTTTGGCCTTCATTACTTATGGATTATTAATTAGTAACTACGAATTAACATATTGATTTTGAGATGTTGTCTACGTATTACGTGATATAATTGCAAAGTACAACATTTTTAGTGGAAATAATTCAATTATCAAAATTTTCGTCACGCGAGAAATATTTTTCATGAACTAATTCCATGAGTTTTCCCAAATATCTCGGGATTGGCAAAAAATATGGATATTTTCGTAAAAATCTTTTATATAGAGCTCACAATTCTCTACAAAAAAACATATAACTAAAATATGTATATCTCCCGTCAGCACCGAGATATTCGCAAAAAACTGGAGAACCGAAAAACTCACTTGTCCCAATTACCGATTTATCAACAGAAATAAATCTCAATTCTCTCGAATAATTGAAAATAAATTACCTGAACACTATCAAAGAGTCTCCCAGTGGTAGTCTGTGTGAGTAGCTCCTTAAATTCATTATTCAATTTTCTGTACATCCACAACCTGACCCTCTCAGCATTTCTCAGCTCATTGAATAAAAACTGAAGTGTCAAATTAATAGCCAAATTTTCATTGCCCTGTAGATTCTGTCTACTGGTGTGTTGTCTCTCCTTATTGAGATCCTTGGCCAATTCATCAGGTAATTCGGCTTTTCCCTGTGGAGGTGGTTTACCTGGTGGTTCTGCTGGTGGTGCTGACTCTACATAAATCTTCAATATATAAAATTCGACGACCAGGGTACATATTATACCACAAATGAATGTAATCACAGCCAGAATGAGCATCAGAAATAAGTCCATAGTAAATGGACGCTAAATTAGCTTCCTCAATCGTGTATTGTTACTATCATAATGTATTTTCTATTTAAAAATATAATATGACTCGATAATATTTTCACTCGTCAAATTGATATCAATGTCACCCATCTGTCATTTCTGCATCTCAACAAGATCCTGCACTAGATCCAACTGCTCTCTGAGAAATAATTATTTATACCATCAATTATTCTCTCTGCATTCTTCATAATCACTTGGATATTCTTCTTTTAATTGATAATCTGATGATTACACTCGTTACACTAGTCGAACGTATATTATTTATCCTAGTATTTTGATTCTCGAAATTGGTACTTGTGATTTATGTACAGATGTGGACGTGGAGTCGATGGAGTTGTGAATTTTTCTCTGTCTTCTGATGAGTTACTCTCATTATTGATTTGCGCAGCCATATTGAAAGGTATGATGCGATGTGCTTTCCGGTGTATGACTGTCTAGTTGTTCTCATTGGGAGATCAATTTTTAATCATTATTGTTTATTTATTGTTGCTGATAGGTTATGGGCTCTTTTTCAGATTTGAGGTGATGAAATGTGATTTTTTTTTTTTTTGGAAAGCACCGGTTTATTTGATAATCGCGTGTATCGATCGATAAGGAGCTGCAGTACTCACTACTCATGTGATCAGCTGATTTTGACAGGTGGGGTGGGCCTCAATCCGCGCGGTAATTCATGGAATTTTTGAATGCAGATTTTCTTGTTCGAATTTAGTCCTCAGGGATGAACATGAATTGTTGCTTTTGTTATGCTCCTCGGATGTAATTACTTGCAACAATTACTTTTCATCAATTGTTATTGAAAAGTGTTGATTAAACTGAAACAGTGAGAAAGAATTGTGTCAAGGAAATTTGGAAACCAATCGTTGCTTTTTTAATATTTATTATAAATGTAATCTACCAAGTTTACAAAAAAATAATAAAAATTACGCGGCTTAGCATTGCTCTCCAGAGGATTGAGTGACAGCTAGATGCAATAGTAAGCTACGTATTTTTTATTATTTTTTAGCAAACATGGTAAATCTCTTTTAAATAATATCGATCTTTAGCGCCCTTCAATAATTTTTTCTATTTTTTTTCATTATTTTTTCATGTCCATTCAAGTGCTTCCCGCAACACAAAATTCATCCCAAATTTTAATGCATTTTAGGTCAAGAAGATAAAATTTAAACAAATGTCGACGTTCGATAGATAATCCACCCGGACCTTAAGGCTCGGGTGGATTATCTAGAAAAGATAATTTACTCCGAAATTCGGATTCCTAATTACTTTGGCAATTAATGGTTTTTTTCAATAATTTTTAGCTAGCGTTCTAGCGGTTGTCAACAACTAGGCCGCTAGCTAACAATCATCGGAAAAAACGATTAATTGACGGAGTAATTAGAAGTCCCAATTTTGGAGTAAATTATCTTTTCCAGACACTCTTGTGCTTAACGATCGCAAGACACATCTGATAATTGTATTATAATTAATAAACCGTCTCATTGTGTGTTGAGTTATCTATCTCTCGATATAAAATTATTTATAAATGTAATAACTTCAACAATTAGGACTCGTTAATTCTTACGAAATTGTAAATTCAATAACTGTTGCACTGAGACAATTTTATCGAGTGAATTTAATCCATAAAAAAGTAAATAATATAATAAAAAAATAGGCAGTAAATAATAAAAATCGACGATTACTCATGTAATCAAATTTTTGATTTTGCTAATTACTGATTGAGAAAAATTTTTTTACTGAATAATAATTCAATTTGTTATTGTATTATTTATTTATATTAGCATTAATTTATTTCAATACCCACTTTGGTAATTTTTTATGTCGATGATTTAGAGAACATTATTATTTTATTATTATAAAGATTATTTTTAATGGAAAATTGGTAACAACAAAATAATATAGAGGATAAATTGTTCAGAATATACGTAATCCTTGAATTTGAATTCTGTTACGCTAAATAACAAATCGACTGGCAAATTTATACACGCAGTATTGTGCAAATATTGGCTGCAAAGACTTAACGGAGTTTGGTAACATATTTTTTATTCGAAATCCCAAGGTCTTCTCAGACCCTCACGAACTGAATTAATTACCGAAGTGATAAACTCGATAAGTCGACTTAACTCTTGTGAGGGTTTCTCAGAAATATATCAGAAATTAAAGCAGATAGAAAAATTATCGTGATACCTTTTTTGTAGCTCTTAATTAGCTCTGCAAAAAAAGTTATGACGATAATGTCATTATTTCTCTTACGTTTCGATATTTTCATTGAAAACTGCTCAGTAGTTAAAACCAACTCAAACCGGTTCAGGCTTCACTGTCAATTAACATTTCAATGTGATTTATGCAAAAAAAAATCGATTGCAGAATTTTAGAATTTCTTAAAATATTGATAATTTGCATGTAACAATCACTTTACATTTTTTCCTTGTGCTCCAAATATTTCTGGAGTCAAAGAATTCATTAAAACGCAGACGAATTTTGAATTAAAAATTCCCAGAACCCAAAAAAAACTTTTCTTATGAATAATATGCAGTCATTACTGTAAAAATATTCCCTCTTTAAATCAAATGCCATTTTTGCTTCAACTCTACAATTCTGCTCCTTAAAATACGGTGAAAATATTAAAATTGAAAGTTGACCTTTCAATAAATTTTTCAAAAATATCTCCGAAACTAAGGGAGATAACGAATTTTATATCAGAACCTTTTTTCTAGAGGCAATCGAGAATTATTAAAAAGGTTCTGACAAAACTTTCACTATCTTCATCAGTTTCGGAGATATTTGCAAATAATTCATGGAAGACTGAAGTGGACTTCTCTCCTTTTACCACTTCATTACTGAGTAATTAATCAGAAGCTCGAAAACCTTTAAAGAATGTAGTGTTTAACTTCTGATAACTCGATGATTTCATTTTACAAAGGAGTGATGTCATTATCTCAATTATTTTTCCGCATGAATCAATGCACTCTTATCATAATTTTGTACTTTCTCGATGATTTCTATTGGAGCGCCCTCTGCAGTGAGTGCACCAACATTTTTTATTCGATATATTGTCAATATCGATCCTGATAATCGTATCGAGTGGACATATCGATACCAACCTATATAGTCGTAAAAAGTATCGATAGTTAAAAATCGATATTTTTCAATTTCCAAGAACTAAAAAAATAATTACTAAAACACGTCTATTATAATTAATTTAAATTTAAATATCAGTGAAACATAAGTAAACAAATGTAAAATTTGATAAAACAATTATTTAATAAGAAAAACGTAAAAATAGATATCGTTTTGAAAAAATGGGGGAAATTTCTCATATCGATATAATCGATATATCGATTGTGCGAGTATCGATATATTCGATATAAAGTCGAATGACAAATATCGATATGAGAGTGCAATACAATGTACTCGGCAAATCCCGGGAGACGAGGAAGACCTAGAGAATCGTTGAGAATACAGAGGCATACATTCACGTACGTGCAATCCCCCATTGTTGTATTGCACTGGTATTATTGGTTATATACAGAGCCAATATATCTACCAATATCTACATACCAACCAAGTACACAACATCATCGTCGTTTAAACAATAAAAAACTGGAGTTGGTGGTGTGAAGGTAAATAGAGTGATTGACATGTGGTGTTAAATAAATTCACCTGAGAATGTTGATGCAGAGATAATCATTGATCAATACATCGTCAATGTTTACAAGTTGGCCTTGTCACTGAAAGCTGGTAGGTGTGCCTGATTATCAGTCCAGATTTGCATCAAATAGTCTGTGAGCTCCTGGTATATTAGAAGAGTTTCGTGTACGAGCTGTTGGATTTATTTATTTATTGTTATTATATTTTTTTAGGTGAATCAGGGAGAAATTATCAATGAAGTTGGATGATGAGGATACGTAGATTCAACGAGGACTGAGGTTTTATTATGCGATGGGGTGGATAGAAATAACGTCTATATGGTTCGTCATGTGGACGTGCCTGATGTGGGGACTTGAACTTGTACCCCAGGTCACACCAAAACAAGTACCCTGTGATAAAACGAGGAAAGTATTTACTGACACCTGGGGAATGATCAGTGATGGACCCATGGGATCTAATTACACTCAGGATTCTCATTGTGAATGGCTGATCAAAGGTAAACCTCTTTTTTATTCCTTCCAAATTTTTCACACAGAAACAACTTTTTTTTATTAATATAACGTAAATAATTACTAGGAAATCCGCACGGTTTAAGTGTTTATACTTATTTAGGTTTCATTGTGAATAGTTTTTTATTTATTCGGTAAATGTTATTGTTTTATTGGCGTGGATGCTTTTTTTAATCGGAATTTTTTTATTTTTCCATGGTTTTTTTAAATATAGGCCAGGATAATTATTAAAATTCATTTAATTGTGGTGTAGAGAATTGATGTTTTCTAATTGATTAAAATTCATAATCAAATATTGCATTTTGGAAATTTTATTTTGGGTTTTTCTATTGAGAAAGCTTTGGAAATCATTTGAAAATTTTTTTAAAAACTAACAAGGCAATTAAAAACTTTTCAATTCTCAAAATTACGATTTATATTACAAAGCATAAACAAACAATCAATTTTACACCTTGAAGACAAATAATTCAATAACTCAATTCTACCGAGAAAGCCGGAATTCCTAAATGAAAAATATCTTCCACTTTTCGTGAAGAACGTTGATTGATATTCCCAAGTGAATTCGTAACAAAAAAACATTTGAAAGAAAATCACTTGATTAAAATTGCAAAACAAGTAAAAATAAACGTCCTGCTACTTGAAATTCCCGCCCCTCCATTAATTGTTCTTCCACCCTGCCTGAAATGAAAATAAAAAGTTCTGATCAACAGAGCCTAAATTAAATCCTCAAAATTAACAGATTTTACATGAATAGTTAAAGAATAACCAATTAATAAAGAATGATAGAAGTAGTTGAAGATTTTTATTTAGAGATAATCCTATTCCTATTGTCTTAGAATAAAAACTCCAATCTACTAACACACGTTTGAGAAAATTGAAGTGCACATTACCTTCTATTTTCATCTACATCTTTTCCTTTTATCTCTTAGTAAACCGGAATAATCTGAGACTAATTACTGATTATAATTTCTAAGTTAACAATACAATTTTTCCGCAATTCCTTTCTAGGACAATTCTTTGGAATAATCGTCGAGCTATCCTTACCTCTTTAAATCAATTAGATCCTAGTTTATGTGAGTTAATTACTTAAAGACATCGCTCATCAATCGGAAATTAATTGATTCAATACGAGCTATCAACGTCTTATTCTTTCATTTAATATTCAGTATTCATTTATTCTCAGTGAGAACTTCTATTTTGACAATGAATTTTTAATTTTTACTTTTAAAGTATAATCTTAATTCCTCAAATGACTTTCACATTATTTTCCCTTAATTTTTGAATCCCCAGTATTTGACTCTTGTTTTTGCACTCAATTTTTAGACTATGATTTTTATAGTTTTAATTTAATAAATAGTCAATCTATTCTAATAAATTGAGAATATCGGATTGCAAAGATATACTCGATAATTAAATAAATAATTCCTCTTTTCCTTTTCGTATTGAATTAATATGTTGTAAAATTATTGAAATTATGTCATTCTCATGATTTTCCCTTGAGTTATGGCGATTTGAACGTAAAAATGTGATTTTCAAGTTTTTCCGAAATTTCAAATTCTGTTCAATTTTCCTACATTTCCAAAGTAAACAAATAGGAATAATATATATTTATATGCCATTTTAAATAACATTTTTTGCTCTTCAAAATGGCTCCAATTGTCTCTGATTTATTTGCATTTTTGTTGGACTATTCAAGATTTTTCCCTTTTTCTACTGCTACCTCACGCTCTAAGCTTCGTTTTTATTATTAATTATCTTATTCCATATAATTCATGGCGTATAGCCTAATATATATAACAATAATATATAATATATAATATATAATATGTAATATATTATATATAATATTCTAAAGGTCTCAACACGCTCTTAATGATGCCGTTTGAATTTTTCAATTCCCTCGGATCGATGAAGAATTATCGATAATAATATTTCAAATTTCACTCCTCACCATTTGAAAAACAGTAATTTCGTTCAAATAAACTCCATAACAGCTTCTAGTATCCATTTCATATAAAAACCCATCGAACATGAGGCCGGAAAGGCCAAGGATCCACAAGAATTACAAGAAAAGGTCTAATATCGCATTGTTCTAATGAACATTGAACTAGTTTGTTTCAATGACATGCAAATCAGCTCGACTAGTGCAATTGCAAAATGATAAACAACTGGTCAAAATGCCAATATTGAAAACAATTTATTTTCATTGCAGCAAACAACAGCCAACAATTCATAACTCTGAGCTTCAGAACGATGGGAACAGAATGCAGCTATGATTATGTATTTGTTTACGATGGAGACTCGTTTCGTTCACCACTGCTGGGTAGTTTCAGTGGTAAAACTGAACCGCAACAAGTTACCTCCTCATCTGGTTACGTGAGTACCTCATCTTTCTGTCCTACGCAATTATACACTTGCTTCAATGTCGAATACTTTGTCCACAGTGACAGAACACTGGCTACACTAGATAATCATTCCGGTTATGCAAATTATAGTTTCTAAAGTGCAATACGTCCGCATGACACTTGACTATTTTTCATATATATTCCAAATTCCATTTGTGCGTTTTAGCATGAAAAATATTCGCTAATAGAATTATTTTAATTTTTTTATTTGATAAATTGATGATTTTTTATGTTTCAGATGTTGATATTATTGTATAGTGATACCAATTACGTTCTCGATGGTTTTCATGCTGAATTTTCAGTGACTGATTGCCCCAATAATTGCACCAGGCATGGAAAGTGCATCAACAATACGTGCGTTTGTGAGAATGATTGGGGTGGAAAAGATTGCTCAAGGGCTCTCTGTCCAAATAATTGCGGTCAGGGTGGTACCTGTGGAATAAAGAGATGCCAGTGCAGGAAAGGTTTCTCGGGACAATCCTGTTCGCTTCATTCTCTTCATCCTGAGGGCAATAAGTGGCACTGGTTATCGCACTCCGAAGGAGGCATGACACCTCGAGCAGCTCATTCAGCCGTTTATGACAGTGAAACTGATTCTCTCTATGTATTTGGAGGATATGATCTCAATTATGTTCTTGGGGACTTGGAAGTTTACAGATTTAATACAAGTCAGTGGGAAGATGAGCATGGGACAGTATTAGAAGGTGCATCTGCTGCTGAATCTCTAGATCCAATGCTGATCGCCAGTGAGCTAGAGCGAGGTACCGAGGAGAAATACGGTCTCTCGTCGTCGTCCTTCGTCTGGAAGTTGCTCTACAACATAAAAGGTAACGGTACGCTGAGTCTTCGTGATCGGGCAACGATAGACACCAGCCAACACGGTTGGCGTGAGCTACGAAATACCCCAGAGCACCGTAAAGCCCAGGAAGCCCGTGAATCTGAGAAAAATCGTCGAAGACACTCTCGTCTCATCAGATCCCTCCTCAGAGCCCCCAGAGACACCGACGATCTCCACTTCTTCATCGAGAAAACCTCAACGCAATCAGAATTCGTCCAACAGATAATCGACACAAACTCAACCACCGAAACCATCTTCACTGAATCCATCAGCTCCATCAATTCCAGCACCAACGAGACACTCAAGCCAAGCCCCAGGTATGGCCATGCAGCCTGTAGATATGCCGACGGATTCGTCATCTACGGGGGCAAATTGGCGGACGGCTCCCTGTCAAATGAACTCTGGCATTACAATGTAAACACAAAAATCTGGACTCTTCGTGCCAAATACTCAGACTATTATCCTCCACATCTCACCAGGCACACCCTGACCCTTGCCGAGGATCGAGTTTACGTGTTTGGAGGTAGCACAGTTGATGGAGAATTTTCCTCAAGTCTCTTCAGCATTAAACTCGACTTAACGGATTCATCTTCATCCTCTGAAAAATGGAGGAGAGTCCGCCCCAGAGGAGGGAAGGAGCTGGACGTCAGAGTTGTTGCTCACTGCACAGTCTATCACAAAGCAACAAATTCACTTCTTGTCTATGGAGGAGTTGTTGCCAGTGTTGCAAGATTCAGCAAACTCTCAGATCGAATGTTTGTGTTCCAGCTGGATCGCAAGGTCTGGTCTGAGATTCATTACCCCAGGGAGCATCTTCCGGACATCTATGTACCACGAGAAAGGGCTTTTCACACCTGCAACATCATTGGAAATTATTTAGTTGTCTTTGGAGGATATTCCCATCGACACAATAAAGAGGAGATCTGCTACGACAATCAAATGTATCTTTATAATTTAGGGTGTCATGTATGGGTGAGTCATGAGGTCCTTGGAGTAAGTGATAAAGATTCTGGATATCCCAAGCAGCAGGGGGTATTTGCTCATGCTGCTGATGCCAGAAATGGAAATACACTTCTTCTGGTTGGAGGATACCATGGAAATGTCAATGCTGATCTTCTTGCTTATACTCTGCCTCCAATGCTAGCACCTGGGGATGGAGATTACGTAGAGCCTGAGCAGCTCTGTCCAAAGCACAAGAGCTTTACCGAGTGCTCAGCTAATCCGGAATGTGGCTGGTGTTCAGCTGATGAAATTTGTTATGGCAGAACAATTGGAAGTAACTGCACCACCAATTTGCAGACCTCTAGGTGTCCCGGTGTGTGTCCTGTCCTGGGGGACTGTCACTCGTGTCTACTTCATGGACAACCTGGTGGAGGATGGGGTACCAACTCCAAGGGAAAGACCTCCATCTCGAATAAACTCAATCTTGGAACGTGCACTTGGTGTGTGCAGAATGCTCGATGTCACCATAAGAATGATAATTATGGGGTTTGTGGCTCCAGGGATGACACCTTGTCGAGAATTCCTGCGTGGTGGGGAAGCAAGGGAACTGAGATAACGAGAGTTGAAGAGTGCAGAGAGATGGATAAGAGGCCTGGATTGACATTTCTCAAGTACAAACCACCTGTTAATTTTACCCAGCCTGATTCTGTCACCATTGTCAATGCTACGACTATTGATTTTAATGTGCCATCGATGCAAGGGGCCAAGACAGAGTCTGCACTTGGGGGTGAGATGATAGCAAGACTCACTGGATTCCTCAGACCACCCCAGGAGTACTGGGTGAGTTCAGCTGAGCATTTGAAGATCTGTGTGAGTTACAACAGTGCAACTCTCCGAGTATCTCGTCATAATAGCTCGAGTGATCTTGAACTCGTAGCTAATTTAACAGCTGAGACATCACAGTGCATCTCAACCAAGTGGCCTGATGGAAGTTATATGAATCTTGAGCCCGGCAGGTATCTCCTGGACTTTGAATCAAAACGAATGGTAACAGCGAATTACGCCTATCCCTCAAAAATGGAGATAACTCACAACAGAAGTGGTGATAATCCAAAAGTCTTCACCTTCGAGTACCTAGAGCCCTACCAGAACGGTTCCTGCGAGCAGTACAGAAATTGCCTCCACTGCTTAACAGATTCATCCTGTGGCTGGTGTGATGTCAGCAACAGCTGTCTCTCGAGGGCATCCAACGAGACCGAGAGCTGTTCAATAACGATCGATTACGACGACGAGGGAAATCCCATAAACGAGTGGCACTATCTCACCATCAATCCCTCCTCCTGCGCCAATTGCTCCAACTACATCTCCTGCGAGTCTTGCGTATCCACTAATCTCTGCGAGTGGTGGACAGAGGAGGCAAGATGTGCTAGACTGGGAAGACTTCCAAACAGTGTTGTTAGCCTTGAAGAATGTCCCATCCCCTGCAGACAAAGATCGAATTGCACGCAATGCCTGGATGATCGAGGAAGATGTGTCTGGTGTGAAGCCACTCAAGAGTGCTTTTCCTTCTCTGTCTACACATCAGAGTATCAATTCGGTCTCTGCCGAGAGTGGATGGACCAAGCAGGACTGATGGGTGTCACCTCGCGATCTGGATCATCCCTCACTGGCAATGACCAGTGCAAATCGTGCAATCGTCACTCAAACTGCACAAGTTGTCTTCACTCCCTCAGCTGTGGCTGGTGTTATTCCCTGGATAATCCAATCACTGGTGTCTGCGTTCAGGGGGATTTCAACCGAGCCCATGTTAATTGCAGTTTAATAATAAACGAGAATCAAATGGATCACTTGAATGAGACATTAACCGAGGAGCAAGTGGGCTGGGCTTATGCCCAATGTCCTGACGTCGACGAGTGCGACCTGGGGCTCCACGATTGTCATAAAGACGCCCAGTGCACCAACACCCATGGTAGCTACAGTTGTCAATGCAAGAGAGGATTTCATGGCGATGGAAAAGAAAACTGCACAAAAACCTGTTATGAGAAATGTGTAAATGGTAACTGTAGTGAAGCACCTGATTACAAATGTGAGTGCAATCTTGGGTGGACTGGGCCTGACTGCAGGACCAATTGTGGCTGCTATAATCATTCGACGTGTATCAACAGCGTTGGTGTCTGTGATGAGTGCCAGGACTGGACGACAGGTCAGTACTGCGAGGAGTGCAAAGCTGGGAGTTATGGTAATGCCACGAGCCCCTTGGGCTGCAGAAAGTGCAATTGCAATGAGCACGGTGATAAGGATCTTGATTACTGTGACAGACAGACAGGTAGATGCTTCTGCAGGGATAACACCAAGGGTGAGACCTGTGGAAAGTGCAGGAGGGGATATTATGGTGATCCCAGGGATGGGGGCATGTGCTATTATGGGTGTATGTCTAGGGGAATGCTCAGTGGTGAAGGCAGTGGACAACAGGGACTTGGCAGCAGACATTCTCAGTTGTCATTGTGGGAGAGCCATCTGGGTGGCAGCCCAACCAGGGAATGTCTCTGGATTGTCAGCCCCAAGAGCGGATTCTCATCTGCTAATCCACCAACTTCTTCGTTGACTACTCAGAGTGTCATTCAGTTCAGTATTCATGATGATATCAATGTCAGCTGTCAGGAGAACAGTGTTTATGTTTATGATGGATTACCTGATTTCGTGTCCTCAACGAGCAGTCATCAGAGTCAATTGCTTGGAGTCTATTGCACTGAGAGCACTGATTATCCAGTTACAGTTGAAGCAAAGTCTGGAATTTTAACTGTTCATTATAAACAGCTGGATGAGGTTGAGGGATTCAATGCTAGTTACGTTGCTATGACATGTGGTGACAATTGCCCTTCCAATCGAGAGTGTCGAGGGGGTAATTGTCTCTGCAGAATTGGCTTTGTCGGGATAAACTGTGACATTGAACTCTGTCCAAATAACTGTACGTCCACCAAGAAACAGGGAGTCTGTGACAAGAGTTATGGACACTGTGTGTGCTCACCAGGATTTGGAGGTCGTGACTGTGCGATTAAAATCAAGGATCACCAGCTGGTATTCACAGAACTCTTCAACTCTGAGTATCTCGCTGATCATCTGGATCACTTACGTAAAACACTTCCTCGTTTTGGTCACAGTTTAGTTGCAGACAGGAGAGGAAGTCTCTGGATGTTTGGAGGATATTCCCTGAGTCATGGGCCCCTCAACGACATCCGATTATTTGATACTAAAAATAATACCTGGATGCCAGTGACTGTAGAGTCAACTTCTGAGGCTTCAATGCCCCAGGGTAGATACTTCCATGCAGCTGAGATCGTACACAGCCGTCAGCAGATCTTCATCTATGGGGGACTGACGATGAAGGAAGAGGGTATTCAGGGACTGTCCAACAATACCTTGAGTGACTTCTGGAAATTTTCCCTTCAGAATCAGAGGTGGAGTTTAGTGAAACAAGATACAATCCTGAAGGATGAGCCTCCACCCCTGGCAGGGCACACCCTGACCCTCAGAAGAAATGGTGAATCAGAGAGTTTGATATTAATCGGAGGATTTAGCCCCAAGTACGGATACCTGGATAAAGTCTGGGAGTTCAATCTGGAGACTGAGATATGGGAGAGTGTGAAGACCCTGGGGAATGGTCCCCTCGGTGTTTACGGACACACTACAGTCTATCACACAAAATCAGACAGTCTTTATGTATTCGGTGGCTACACGTATGCTGTCAATCGTACGTTCATCTCGAATAAACTGTACGCCTTGAATTACAAATCGAGAATGTGGTCGATTCTTCCGCCCTTTGATGATGACTCAAACGATGGAAGTTCTCTACCACAGGCGAGATTTCTACACTCAGCAGTGACAACTGACGAGTACATGGTGATTTTTGGTGGTCGACAGAATCCCCACAACACCAGTGACACCTTGATTGCGTACAAGTACGCGTGCAATCTCTGGATTAGACTGATAACCAAGGACACGGAAATCATTGGAACACCTCCACCACCTGCTTACGCACACGCAATGACTCATGCAGATCCAGAATTAAATCTTCTGTACGTCGTTGGTGGATTTGACGGGGGGATAAAGAGCCACGTCACCCAGATCAGCATTCCTGAGGATCTCTGCAGTCTCTGGACTGATAAGAACACTTGCAGAAAGTACTTCGGCTGCTCATTCTGCGCTGTAACTATGATTGATGGAAAGAACGCGTCTTACTGCTTCTCAAATCAATTATTTGGGAATCAAGATGATAAGTGTGACATCAATGTCACTCAGGCTCAAAGATCCAACGGGATATTCTGCAATTCCGAGTGGATGGCGAACAGAAAGTGTCAGTCATTGAAGAGCTGTTCAGAGTGTCTTGCACAGTGGCCATACTACAAGGATGAGGATCAAGTGTGCAAGTGGTGTATGAATTGCCCAGTGGGTAAGTGCATACCAGTGACGAAGGACTGCAATGAATCGAATAAATGTAACAGTCTTCCAACATCTGTGACAAACGTGGGACAGTGTGGGGAGAGCCAGTGTCCAGCTAGTGACTGTGATAAATGTAATAATTTGGGTGATGACTGCGTTTGGACGAGACAGATATTGAAAACTCCAGGTTCAGGATGGAAGCAGACAGCTGAGCCTATCTTCGACTGGAATTGTGTTTCCAAGAGTCTCGTTGAGAGATCTAACATCAAAATGACGAGTGGTGAATGTGAGAAACGATGCAGTGATCATAAAGACTGCAGGAGTTGTTTGAAAGGTACGGGATCAGAGGGTGGTTGGCACGAGTGTCGATGGTCCACTCAAATGAACGAGTGCATTTCACCCTCGTATCAGCCCCTGTACTGCGCTGGAGGTGTCTGTGGACTTGTCCTCAAAAACACTGACGTTGAACACTGCCCTGAGCCCTGTTCCGTCTTCAAACAATGCAGCACATGTCTGAAGCACTCGCACTGCGGCTGGTGCTCTCTGGATTCAGCGAATATCACTGGTCAAGGAATATGCACAGAGGGATCTCTAGAGGCACCAACTGATCATCCAGCTGGTGGAACTTGTCAAATGATCTACAATCAGATGAAACCACCGACTCCACCTCCAGCCACAACATCACTTCCTCTTATCTCGAATGATACAGATTCACACGAATCATCTTCAACGAATGACAGCGCGATTTATGTAATCAGAAAACCTGAAGTCTTCTCCTGGCATTACGTTAGGTGTCCACCAGAGGACGAATGCATAAACGGTCATCACACGTGCTCTCCAAAGAGCGAAAAGTGCTTTGACCTTGAGGAGGGATTCGAGTGCATGTGCGGTGATGGATACAAGAACGAGACTGCCCTAGCATTCAATGATTTTGGGAGAAAGACTTGTGTGCCAATGTGCACTCAGGGATGTGTCAGGGGTACATGTGTAGAACCCAATGTTTGTCGATGTGATTTCGGTTACGTTGGTGCCAATTGTTCTATTCAGTGTCAGTGCAACGGACACAGCAATTGCGCTGGTCCTGACAAACTCGATGAATGTCTGGAGTGTCACAACAACACAATGGGCCCACAGTGCGACAAATGTCAACCACTCTACGTAGGTAATCCCGCTGACAACGGACAGTGTGTTCCCTGTCTTGATTACTGCAATGGACACACCAGAATCTGCATAAACGAGAGCATGACTGTGTCTGATCCAAACTCTGTGGATCGAATGTCAATTGAATTGTTGACTAAACAACTCGTGGAAGGACCAGTGTCCAAAGCCAAATGCGTTAACTGTGGTAATAACACGAGGGGTGATAAATGCGGTGAGTGTGTGCCAGGATATTTTCGAGGTACTGAAGATCTTAGAGATGTCTGTCGTCAGTGTGAATGTCATGGGCATGGTTTCACGTGTGATCCAGTCACTGGGGAGAAATGCAATTGTGGTAATAACACTGAGAGCGAGCCCTCCTGCACCCCGGGTCCAAGCAAAGGTACCAATGTCCAGGGGACACCCTGTTGGAAAGCCCAGTGCAGCAAGTGCAGAGAGAATTATGCTGGTACACCCACTGGTGGACACCAGTGCTACAAAACTGTTACTGTTGACAACAAGATGTGTTTTGACTCGAAGCTCATTGACGAGTGCAAGATGAAACCCAAACCCCTCAATCCAGGACAGACTGTCTTCTACATGGTTCAGCCTCGATTCATGAATGTTGATATTAGAGTGATGGTGGATGTGACTCAAGGAGCTCTCGATCTCTTCCTGTCACCCAGGGATGACTCATTCGTTGTTAATTTGAATTCGTCGACTGGCTATCAGGAGGTGGGACTCGATGAGAGATTCAAGTGGAGAAAGGATCATTATGATAATTGGTTTGATGATCATCTGCTGCATCGAGTGAGGATTGTTGAGTTTCTTCCTAATGAGAGCATTCCTGAGATGAAATGGAACACTGGACCACAGTATGTCGTGATGGAGAGATATGCTGAGGGATTGGCAACATTTATCACGATCGAGCAGAAGGACACTTTTCTCGTTGTGAGGAATCTCACCAACAGATTGGTACTGACTCTGCCGCAGGACAGACACGAATTGGGGCAGACCAAGTTCCATATTGCACTGAGGGCCATTGACACTCCATACCCTGAGATTAATGGACGCGCTGCCTATGGGATGATCTTCTTCAGGCAGGATCAACTCCATATTGATTTGTTTGTCTTCTTCTCGGTGTTCTTCTCCTGTTTCTTTCTGTTTCTCGCTGCCTGCGTTGTTGCCTGGAAGACTAAACAAGCTGCTGATGTCAGGAGGGCCAGGAGGAGGCACGTCGTGGAGATGCTTCATATGGCTAAGAGACCTTTTGCATCGGCTACTATTCTTTATGATCGAGATGGCAATGAGTTCAGCACTAATTCTCCGCAGAGGAAGGGACGGAGGAATAAACTCGTTAATTTTCATAGTGATGTCAGACCTGTAGCTGTTGAACCCACTGATGATGGAATCGCTGCTGTTGCTACTGTTTTTATTAGGCTTCCTGGGGGACCCCATGCTCCTGTTAAATTGGCACTCGCTAGCTCGTTGATTCTCTTGACGAGGGTCTATCCTGTTAATAGTCGCGTCTTCTTGAGGCGAAGGAATAGTCATGCTGTTAATTAATTTGGAAAAGTCTTTTGAGATCTAGTGAGGTGAGATTTTTTTTCTTTTTGATACTTTTGGCTGAAAATTCTGAGAATAAATTTATTTTGAAATACTATATTCTTTCTTGGGGGAAGTACGATCGGAATATACCTTTTTTTGAAACTGCTTTCAGGTCGATTGAATTTATTTTCGGGGATTGTAATTAGATTTTAATTGTAACAATCATGTGGCTCGAGGAAACTCAATGATTATTCGATTTTTATATTTTCCCATTTTCCTGGGACATGAATTTCTTTAAGTTTTTTTATCTTTAATAATTATTGAGTTTCATGAAGTCATAATTGTTTTAATTGATATCTAATCGGGATGTCCTGAAAATTTTCTGAGGAATATACAATTCAAAGACTAAGACAAAGTATTAAACAAATTATTATTATTATTTCCTCTAAGTGAATGGATATTTGTAAATGGATATATTTTTTTTTCTCTGCAGATTTCCTGGTGGGGCAGGGAACATTTTTTAATTTAATTAACTGAAATATATGTATTTTTGATAAAAACATTGATTAATTAGTAATTAATGATCACCAATTTTCTAGATTTTCGACGAACAAGATAATAAGACAAAATTTTATTTCAATTGATTAATTCTCTCTAGTGAAAATTATGAATTTTTCATTTAAGGTGGTTGTCGCGCGACAGTCTCTGTAAAAAGTTTATCC